TATATATATATATATATATATATACATACGTGTGTGCACATATTTATAATGACTAAAAAATTAATGAATGAATTATATATACACATCTCATTTAGGATTATCACTTACGTGGACTCATATTACGCAGGTCTAGAAAACTATTTTTATATTAATATTTTTAAAATTTTGGAAAAATTATTTCTCATGATTTTTTTATTCATTAAAATTATAATGACAACAAAATTTAAACTTTCAATTATATGTATCTTTAATTTTTTACTAGACCAGCTAAAGTAGTTTATATATTTTTTTCAAAATGACACTCATTTTTTTTTTAGTTTAAACAAACATTCACTTCCCTTATTTGTTTAATCAGACACATACACGGAAAAAATGTTACTGTATTAATGAAAGACGCCTATATTAACTTATTTGCCAAACCCTTATTTGTTTAGAGCATCTTTAATCAAAGAATCTTATTCGGATATAAGTCTTCTTTAAGAAAGCAACTGTACACCTCACGATTACTAAGAAAGCAAAAAAGTTGTATTTATTTTTTATTCAATTGATCAGATAAAAAATGATTACTTTTAATTATTCAATTAAATTAAAGAAATGTTATTTAATTTATAAGAATATTTATTTATTTGTATGTTCTCTTTTATATATTTTTTCTATTGTTTTTAAATTAAACACGCGTATTTCTATTTATTTTTTTTTACCTATTCCTCCCTTTTGCCATCTAAATACAGTAAGCATAATTTGAAATTTTCTCAAGGTAAAAATTCAAATTATATCATAAAGTGGAGGTAAATTAGTAATTATAAATATAATTTTACTCTATTTCTTGTTTAATTTTTTATATTAAATAACTATAAATTTTATTTTATTTCACTTTATTTTTTTATTAAATCAATTTTCATCATTCATTTCATTTCAATCTATTTTTTTCCTCTCGCTAAACAAAGCATTAAATTTTATAGCGAACCATTATCATTGTTGATTTTGTAATTCTGCTGTCTAATAAGAACTAAGAAGGCGGCAAGTGACAGGAGAGGGAAGCATACCCAGAACAAATGCAAAAGAAACATCTCAATCTCGAACTCAAAGTAGTGGTTTGGTTTGCATAAAATATAATCCAAGTATACAAACGACCAAATTGGTCGGTGGACAAAACGCACCATCCATTGCCACTTGCCATTTAAGTGATAAAATAGACACAACCATGAATGTGAAAGGGAAAATATTTGTATGTTAAAATACATCTAAAAAGAAAAATAAATTAAAAGAAAGAGATAGATATAATAAATATATGATACAATAGAAAAACAAAAACAGAAAGAAATGTAAGGTATTATTGAAACTAAATCAGTGACCCGTTTGATGTATGAGATAATTTTTAATCAATTTATAATAATATTAAAATAAAATTTATAATCAATTTAGTGCTATCAATAATGTTAAATTATCATATGAGAGATAATTAAATTTTATTTTTGATCATTCAAAAATATAATAATAGCTTATACATAATTTTTTATATTAATTAATAATATTCATCGTATCACCATTTATATTAATATAGTTTTCAATTTTATAGAAATAGTATTTTGAGAAAAAAAATTGAAAGAATAATTACATAACAATTTTTTTTACGTGAATTTTCATGGATTTTGTGAAAAAAAAATGGTATACCTTTTTGTTTATATTTATTTTTAAATTGTTCATAATTAATAATTAATATGATTAATATTTTAGGATGTCATTAGATGTTAGTTTCTTGTAATTAATGTTTCTTTAAAATCTCATAGGAAATTAAATAATATTTCAGAAATTATTTGTTTGAGAAAAATAATATTTTAGAAGATGTTCCTTTATAATTTTATTTATTTGTTTTAAAATTTTCCATAATTAATAATTATAATTAATGTTTTATTTTATTATGTCATTCCGATTCCAATTCTTATAATTAATTTTTTTTAGAAATCTTCTAAAAATACTTTAATAGTTATTTAGAAAGAAATATTTTAGAAGTTGTTCGTTTTTTTATTATTTATAATTATATTAAAACTGTTCATAATTAATAAAATTAATGTTTTATTATGCTTTTACCATTTAAATTTTATATAACTGACTTTTTTTACATGAATTTTTATTATAATTTATTTTACATGAAATATTCTGAAGTTTGTGAAAGTAAATTTAGCATAATTTTTTTATTTATATTATGTAAAAAAAAAATCATGTGAGATGCTTTATCTTAACCACGTCGGACATGAGTAGTTTAGCATCGGATGTAGGTGAGATAAGGAATACATGTTTTTGCTAAGATACATAAAAATTAGAGGAGAGTAAGTGTTGCTTTTAAAAATTTATATCCCATTATATTGATATATGTTGTGTTGCTTTAAAGGCCCAAGTGTTGAAAAATCTTCAATAAATAAGTTGAGTTCTGAATGGTAAGTTATTTTGTTGCCTCCTTTAGATTTTATGTGATATTCTTATGTAGCCAAGGTCGATGCATACGTATATAAAGCGACCAATTGACTAAAGTTCGAAATCGAAAACTTAATTCCTAATTGAGTATTGAAAAAGCATACTACTTTGAGAATAATCAATAAGCTAATTTCATAGGTGACTTAGTGATACAAACTAATGTAGTGGTAGACTCATGTCCAAACCATTTTACTCTAGTAGTTGAACTAGACTTCCTAGTTTATGTGACAAACCCGAGAAATCAAAATGAGTTGTTAGCTGACCTGGTTAAAATAGTCACACATTGTAGTTCGATAAGATCTAACCACTTAAACTACCCACTTGTATTTGCAAGAGATATGCATAATTGATAAGCGTAATGATGCATTGGATATAATTATATATGTGTTGTTGTGTTGAATGTGTTGAGGTTGATCAAACTATTTGAGTTATACAATATATTGTTAGTAGAAAAGTTTTATGTTGTATGTTATATATATATATATATATGTGTGTGTGTGTGTATTTGTGTATGTATGTGAAGGTAGTTGTGTTGAAAATGTTATGAGTTGTTCATTTATGTAGCGTAATAATTTCTTTCACAAGTTTATCTTGTATTTTTCTTATGGTTAAAATTGCGATAATCTTACTTAGTATGAGACTAAGACAAGATTAGCAAAATTGCTTAGTTGGTTAGGTGGTGAGTCATGTTATGGTGACTTTCTTATGCATTAGTGTTGCTCTAATGCGTGGTCTTGTATAGTCACTTGACCAGAAAGTAAGGTTTATTTTGCTTACTGTTATGTATTTGATGTAGTTGTATATGTATTTGTACAATATATATATATATGGTCTGTCAGAGTTTCCATTTTTAGTTGTTTATTTTCTACCATATACAAATAAACTTACACGATAATTCTTATAATTGTTACATGATAATTCTAAGTTTTTGTTATATGTGCATTCTATAATAGCTAAATCATGGTAATTATAGTGACCTATTGAATTGTTATAGTTTATAATTGTTATAATTAATTTTTTATATAGAAAATCTCTTAAAAAATAATATTATAATTTATGAGAAGAAATTATTGCATGATAATAACATTAAAAAATTTATTGCACGAAGAATTTATGAATATTTAAAAAATTTGTGTGTGGAAATATGGAAATTGTTGCCTTCCTTGCTACATTACCCTCAATTTTAATATTGATACATGGTACCGTTAGTTTCTAAATAAGAAGAAAAGAACTTGCTTTGTACCTCCAACTCATTTCCACACGTCCGTTTCTGGTTGGCCATGCCATGTCACACACAATACGAACCTTCCTAGTTTCTACTTCCTTCTATTTTTTTCTTCTCAACGTAAAAGGACAAAACTGACCTTAAACCCACCTCCAGCTTAGTTAGTCATGTACACGTGTACGTATGTATGGTAGGTAGATACTATATTCAGACTTTTTTTTTTTTTTTTTTAATTCGTCAAAAACCTTTGTAGTTTGTACTCTGTATACGATATACAATACCAGCTACATGCTAGATTGAGATTTTATTTTATTTTTCTTTCGTTAAAAAGCTTTGTACTTTGTAATTGTATACAATATATAATACCAGCTACACGCGTTTATACCATATTTCTCTCTCTATCTTTGGCTTTCGCTTTATGTCAGAGTCAACAGCAACTCTTTCCTCTCAATAATAGAGTTGGTAACCGGTAATCACCGCTTCTCACTGCCTTCAATTCGAACAATAACTCAATAACCCGTTGCACCTTTTTTCTTTTTCTTTTTCTTTTTTGTTGTTGTTGCTGCTTCTGAAAAAGTTGTAAACTTGCAATCTCCGGCGTCGTTTTGATAGGCTTCTGGAGGGGTAAGGACCCGCTCCTTTGTCTCTGTTCTCAGCCTTTTGCCATTGATTCCGATTTAGACCCATTTTTGTGATTTGATCCGCTTTCATAAATCTTAGGATTCTGAAGGGGGAGGGTATGGGGAAATGGAATTAGTGCATTGGGGGGGCCTGAATCTTTTCCTCTTTTCCTTCAAAAGATTATACCTTGTTGTTCAAATTTGTTGTTAATGCTTGTTTGGTGAAATCATCACACCAGGTAGCCTATTTGTACAAATATGGCAGTGTTTTTGTGACATTTGTAGGGTTTTAGGGGTTTAGTTTATTTTTAAGCTTGATTTGTTTTGCATTCATTCTCTTGTTCAATATCAATAGCGAAAATGTCATCAGCCGGTGTCACTACTCTTAGTGTGGTTCCTACTGAGCCATTGTTATCACCAAAGGCATTCCCTTTCCCATCACACTTGTCTTTGGAAGATAAATCCATTTTCATATACCTCTCCTTTTCGGGCTCATTGACTCCAATCCGTGTTATGGAGTGGGATACCATCGAGTCTGTGAAATTCAAAATCCGAAGGTGTGAAAGCCTTCCATTTTTAACAAACAAGCAGAAGTTGGTTTATGCTGGCCGAGAGCTCGCGCGAAGTGATTCGCTGCTCAAGGACTATGGAGTAAGCGATGGAAATGTTTTGCATTTGATAATCAAACTGTCGGATCTTCAAGTCATCAATGTGAAAACTTCTTGTGGGAAGGAGTTCACATTTCAGGTCGAACGAGGCAGGGATGTTGGGTACATAAAGCGACGCATTGCCAAAAGGGAGAAACAATTTGATGATCCTGAGCAGCAGGAACTTGTGTGCAATGGGGAAAGGCTTGAGGACCAGAGGCTTATTGATGATATCTGCTGCAAACATAATGATGCAGTGGTACATCTGTTTGTTAGAAAAAAACATGTTAAAGTTCAGAGGAGACCCCTTGAGTTGTCCATTGTAGCAAGAGATTTGATTGATAAGAAGAAAAATGATGTCAATGGAAATACTTTAAGGAGAAGTTGTGATGTTGGTAAAGAAGATACTATTAGGAAGTCTAATGCTATTCAAAGAGCTGTGTGGAGAAGGGCCCCCGCTCGAGATTTTATTTTGGAGCCAGTTATTATTAACCCAAAAATTGAATTAGCTCCGGCTATTTGGAATATGGTGAACTCCACATATGATGGACTTGATAGTGGAAACTATCCAATCAGATCTGCAGAGGGTACAGGAGGAGCTTACTTTATGCTTGATTCGTTGGGGCAAAAGTATGTGTCTGTTTTTAAGCCTATAGATGAAGAGCCAATGGCTGTGAATAACCCTCGAGGTCTTCCTTTGTCAATAGATGGTGAAGGCTTAAAAAAGGGTACAAGAGTTGGTCAAGGAGCATTCAGGGAAGTTGCAGCCTATGTTCTTGACCATCCATTGAGTGGGCGCCGCACATTATTTGGTGATGAGAAGGGCTTCTCTGGTGTTCCTCCAACATTGATAGTTAAGTGCTTGCATAAAGCATTTAACTACCCTAAAGAATTGACTCCTAAGATTGGCTCCTTGCAAATGTTCACAGAAAACAGTGGAAGTTGTGAAGATATGGGCCCCGGGGCTTTCCCATTAAAGGAAGTACATAAAATTACTGTTTTGGACATAAGACTGGCAAATGCAGATAGGCATGCTGGGAATATTTTGCTCAGCACAGAGGAGGACAACAACCAAACTGTTTTGATTCCAATTGATCATGGATACTGCTTGCCGACAAGCGTAAGTACCTTACTTATGCCCTCTTTGTTGTGTTTTAATGCATGTGGTTATGCTTAGGGTTTATATATTCTATATTCTATATTGTTTAATGGTAATACACTAATGGAGTAAAATAGTTTTATATAGTCATTCAATCACAATTCATCTTAAATAATGAATAATAAGTTTGTTGACTTTTACAATAATTACCTAAAAAATCATACAAATTATGATTTTTGATTGGTTGTATGTATAAATTTTTTTACACCTACAATGTATGACCATTAAACTCATTTTTTATTTTCCTTTTCTTTATCACTTTATATTCTATATTGCAATCATTTGACATATTTGTCACTCCAACAGTTTGAAGATTGTACCTTTGAGTGGCTTTACTGGCCCCAAGCTTACCAGCCATACTCCCCAGAAACCATTGATTACGTAAAGTCGCTGGATGCTGAAGAAGATATTGCCCTTTTAAAGTTTCATGGATGGGATCTGCCAATCGAATGTGCCCGCACTCTTAGGATCTCAACCATGCTTTTGAAGAAAGGGGTAGAGAGAGGATTGACCCCCTTTGACATTGGAAGTCTAATGTGCAGGGAATCATTAAACAAAAATTCTGTGATTGAAGAAATAGTACAAGCAGCACTGGATTCTGTTCTTCCTGGCACAAGTGAAGCTACATTGCTGGATGCTGTTTCCCAAATCATGGATATGCACATTGATGAGATCGTCAGATCTCGTTGATAATAGCATTGATTTCTTCAATAGTAGCAGGTATATACATGTCATTGTGTAGTGTACATATGTTCACGTACATATGTATAGGTCAAATAATTGGTTTTTTAATTCATGACAAAGGAAGTCTATTTTCTTTGGTTGGAATGTTAAACCATTCTTAGCTTAACTTCCTAGGTTTTATTCTTTTGGTAGTTTCCAGCCGATGACAAATTCTTTCAAGTTTGTTGTTGATTTCTTTATTAAATTTGAATTTTAGGGATAGTAGACAATCCCTGTCTCTATTTGAATTGTAGTTTGACATTCTTGTCCTGTAGTGAGTGTTGTCTTGTTTCAACTAAAAGGTTGTGCTTGTTAGAAGTGTAAAATTGGAAATGTGGAAAAGTGTGTTCAACAGTGTTTGGATATATATACAAAAAAATAAAAAGTGTTTGGGTACAGTAAAATTAAATGTGTCGTTATTTCTATCCATTCGTGTGTGTATCTTGTGCTTAGATCGGTTATACGTCTTGACATTTACAATTCACAAACCATGCAACCGGAAGTTTTCACGAAATATATCAAATTTACTGAAATTTGTATATTTTAACTGATTTTTCATTATTCAAGAATATTTAAGTAATAGTATTTTATTTTAAATGTATAGTTTATTATATTCATAAAAATGTTTAAATTTTTTCTAAAAAATTGATATACATGATAAATATATGTATATATATGAGAAGGGTTCAAACGACACCAGTGTAACTTTTACTAAGTGTTACACTGCTCAATAACTTTAAATTAAATGTGAATTTTGTAAATCTAACCGTTAGTTTGAAAATTCATATTACTTTATATGTGTATATCAAATTTTGTTAAAATTGAACAACTTGAGGGTAATCAAAGTGTTCATATTTTAGTATATTTTGAAATAAATATATTATATTAATTTTATTTTATAAGAATGAAGTATCAAATCATCTTGGATTAATATAAAATTTTGTATATATGATTTAAGAGTAAAGAACTTTCAATCTAATAGTAGGATTTACAAAATTTACATTTAATTTAAAGTTGTTGAGTGGTGTAACACTTAGTAAAAATTACATCGGTATCGTTTGAACCATCCTCGATATATATATATATATATATATATATATATATATCACATAATTTAACGATTAAACTGCCCATAAAACGATTAAATTTATTAAATTCTAAAGATTACACAAGTTTGTTAGGTGAAAGAGGGCATGGGCATCTAATACACCTAGTATTCCCAAATCCACTTTATTTAGCTCTTATTTTACAAATGTATATATCACATGGCTTCACTGCGCATCTATACCCATACCATGGCGTTTAGGCAATTATGAACTCGAGGTAGGAATTTGAATTCACAAAAGTTAATCAACAGAATTCTCGAAATAAAATTGCCGGTAGGAAAATGCAATCATCGTTACCATGTCGCTGATTGTTTTAGCTTGTAAATACAAAAATGCCGCTTTTCAATGTAATAGCTATTTTCTTTCACTATATAATACTAGATACGTGTATACTCTAAACCTTTCATAAAAGTTAACAAGCGGTCTATAGAATATTATCCTGCGATGTGCGTTTAAATATTATTATTTCTTTTAAAATTTTGTAACTTGTGTCCCTAAGGGTAATTTTAAACGCTGAAGAAAAAAAAAAAAAGTAGTAGCTATGCAAATTAAAACCCTTTCGCACTATTTCCAAAACATTTCGACATTCATAATTTTTTTTGTATTCACTAGGTACAAACTTGCTATCACCTAGTTCACAATTGATTTTGATCCATTTGTGACTTGATCGGCTTCAAAAGTGTTCTGCATGAAATGTGAAGTAAAATTCCAAAGCATGTTGAAAAGTAGCATATGATACACGCAGGACACCAAATATCTGACAAAGTATCTTGGTTAGAACTCAGTTTTTTTTTTTTGTTTTTTTTATTTATTTTGTTTGGAAGTTGAAATCCCCATGACCATTCACCAGTCAAAGATTAAGACTTGTCAAATTATCTACAGCAAGAAATAGCATTCAAGAGAATATGCAAATCAACCTAGCTACAAAGGTTGGGTATGCACACTCCACCTTCAGGGTTTTGCTGTTCTTTCCATATCCTCCCTGTTACTCTTAGCTTCAACTCTTTCCTATCTCCACCTGAGAAGAAAAGCGCCATGTTGCGGTAAATGATGAGACCATCATGACTGTCTCTGACTTTCTTATGGCTATCTCTAATGCTTCGCGGACTGCCCTCGAATGTTAGTTTGCGTCCATTTCCTCCAACCTCCAAGCTGTAGCTGTAGTTCCGCGCCTCTCTTTCGTCACCCATGAATCGGAGGAACGCCATGTAAACGGGAGCCATGCCTAGCTGGAAGGCCTCAAAATGGAGGCAAAAATACTGACCAAAACAGTGGAAAACCTAACATAACCAAAAATGAGTTAACAATAACAATTTGGATGAGATTTCATGCAGTGTAAAATGTAGTTGTGCTTGTGCACTAAATGAAGGAATTTTCTGCAAATGCATAGCAATGAATATCATTCAAGTCCATCCCATGCACAACACTACTACACTACACTACACCCTAGAGAAGGACATGCATAATTGTTATAGATACCGTTAGCATCCATGTAGCATTTTCCACTTCCAGGGGATTAGACTTGACATAGCGATGGTTAAAAGTGCATCCAGAATGCATATCAACCCTGTGGTCATCCCTTAAATGAGCGACTAGGCATGGAATATCCCCAACCACTGAGCAGTCTGACCCGGCATAAGGGCAGTTGTAAGGTCTGAAGTTACAAATAGCCTCATGCTTGAGTTTGCTGTAATAGGGAAATATCTCTGGACACCCGAGAGAGATGTATCTGCATGGCAATTCAAGTGATTCTGCTATCTTCTCCAATGCCAGACATCTTATATCACCGAGCTCCTGCCTGCAAGTTGGACATCGGTTGTGTACCCTTGTCTTGCAAGTTGAACAGAGTGTGTGCCCATTGTGGCACTGCATAACAAAATTGGTTTTAAGAATCAGTCACTGTTTTGTTAGCATCATTATTCAACTATATCTAGTTACCTGTATTCCTGTACAAGGATAAGGGCAGAAGGTTTCAATATACTCCGACAAATAATATAACCAAAATACACAATATAATGTTATGCACAATACACTCATTATATTCCTCACAGTCTAATGACAAAATCTGACAAAATGCTCCACCCCTTGTTAAAATAAACTTGGCCCATAACAAAACTTAAGATTTGATTGATCACCTATTTTTTTTTGCAAACGCAAGCTACAAATCAAAAGACTTGTGATCAATGTAGGGAATCCATTGTCTTAGATACTGAATTAACAAACACCTTATCTCACAGCAAAAGTAGAAAGTAACACCTGATCCTTTTATTTTTTCATTACAGTTACTTTTCATTGTAAATAATAACTGCATATTTGGATGCATTGTAATATCTCAAACAAAGTGTAATAGAAACCTGTGTCTGTGCATAAAAATTATGTCTAGATATTATTAACTAAAATCAAGTTTGCTCAGTAGCTCTAATACATACTATGCCCCATTTGAAAAAGCTTATAAATAACTTATTTGTACTTATCTTATTCTATAAGTACTTATGAGAGTGTTTGGACAAACTTATAAAATATCTTATGAATAGTCTATAGCATGTTTTGAACTTATTTTAATAAGCTATCCAATATAACTTATTAATTAACTTATGCGGGAACTTATTGAAAAGTACATAAGTTCTAATCCAATTATCGACATAAATAGATTTTATTTTTATTTTTTTCATTCTTTCACTAAAAATCAATTATATATATTTTTTTCATTACTTCCTCCAAAAGTTTTCATTCCTCCCTCCAAAAGTTTGTTCCTCTTCATTTTTTTTCTCTTCTCCATTTTTTTTTATCTCTTCCACCTAAAATTCACATTCGCCTATTAGAAAAAAAACCTCATAACTTTTTTTCTCTAAAATAGCATATCTAAAGTAATTTTGTTAATATTTATGCAATAATTTTTTAATCATGATTTTATAAAATATATAGAATTGATTTTGAATTTAAAAAATTTATGGTTCTTTATTTTTAATCATGTTTATATATATAATTGATTTCTCATATTTTATTTAATTTTTTTTATATAAACTAATTTAGGTGAATTGTGACTAGTATTTTTTATTATTATTTTTAATATTATTGTGATGTATGATGTTATTTATTAAAAATATTTAGTTACTTTTTATATTTTTATTTGACTTAAAAGTGTTTTTACTCCTTGTAAAGTTAGGAGTTTTGATTTTGATCTCTATAATTTTTTCTTTGTTTTTCTTCCTTCTAAAAATTGAAAACATTGTGTTTGTTCCTCTCGTAAAATAAATAATTTTGGTTTGATCCCGATAAAATATTTTTCTATGATTTTCATTCCTCTAAATTTTAAAGTCACTTATTTTGGTCCCGAACAATTATTTTAAGGTAGATCAATAATAGTTATTTTAAGGATCTATAAGAATTTTTAGAGCTATCAAATACTAACATAATATGACTAACATTCATGTGTAACATAGAATGTTCACTTAATCTTTTAATAAACATGGGCTAAAAACAATAATTTTAATTTTAGAAGGATGAAAAACAATTTTTTTATAGGAATTAAAATCAAAATCAGCTAATTTTGTAAAGACAAAATATTTTTAAGCTTTTTTATTTTAATTTTATTCAAAATTTAATTAGTATTTTTTAATTTTTAAAATGAGATAACATCTTATAAGTGTTTAAATAATGGTACACTTTGAAATCGTGTTTTTTAATATGTATATCCAAATACAACAACTTATTGAATTTTAAACACTTATAACATAAATTTACATAAGAACTTAATAAATAAGATTTTAAATAAGTTGTTTGTCCAAACGAACCTTATATTGGGACGTGTTGAGATAAACATCTTAATTAAGCGTTTATTGGATAGTGCTTACATATAAATTGTTTCTATAATTGAACAGAGAAGAGGGTTAAATTATTTTCATTTCAGTTATAAGATATTTTCATAAGCTATCCTGGAGAACTTGTGAAAATAAGCTAAAAATAGCTTATGAACATAGCATTAGTTATTTTCATAAGTTCTCCCACACACTTATACAAGAGTTTATGTCACAAGATAAATTTAAATAAGCTCTTCCAAATGCACCTTGAGTCTAACTCAATCCCAAAAACTTGCTCAAGGTGAAAGGATTGGCCAAGTCTCGCTGATGTGAGGTCTTAATAAACAAGCCCCCCTCGTGTCCAAAACTGAACATTTTGGATCATGAAGTATGCAAGATTGGACATTTATTGAGTGTCCACTATAAAGGTTGGATAAGGATCTTAACAAATTCCATACTAAATTTTACTACAAACTTACTTTACAGAAAAAATTTCCATGCATAAACTCTAAACATTTAGGTGATAAAAACCCATGTTCTTGCATAAAAATTATATCTAGGAAGTAGGAACAATTTACTAAATTCAAGTTTGCTCTAATACCTTATTAGAAATGGACAAAGTCTAACTCAATCTCAAAAGCTTGCTCAAGATGGGAGGATTGCCCAAGTCCTGCCAAGGTGGGATCTTATGTCTAGGAAGTAGGAACAATTTACTAAATTCAAGTTTGCTCTAATACCTTATTAGAAATGGACAAAGTCTAACTCAATCTCAAAAGCTTGCTCAAGATGGGAGGATTGCCCAAGTCCTGCCAAGGTGGGATCTTATGTCTAGGAAGTAGGAACAATTTACTAAATTCAAGTTTGCTCTAATACCTTATTAGAAATGGACAAAGTCTAACTCAATCTCAAAAGCTTGCTCAAGATGGGAGGATTGCCCAAGTCCTGCCAAGGTGGGATCTTATAACCCCTTACCTTCCTCCATTCCAAAAACTGAACATTTGGAGCATGAAGCTTCCAAGTTTGGACGTTTGTCCAATGTCTAACATCAAGGGTAGATAGGTTCTAATATCATATTAGAAATGATTTAGACTTAATTTCAAAAGCAACTCATTTTCAAGTCTTAGCAAGTTTCACACTAAATTTTACTACGAACTTACTTTTGGGATAAAGAATTGTAAGCAATCATTTCACTTCAAACTCACTTTTAACCAAATTAATTTTACAAAATTAAAATAATCCAAAGTCAAGTTAGTAAACACTCACCTAAACACACAATAAGTCAGAATGCAATGTTCTCATAGCAATGGAGTTGCTTATCAATTCAAGCCATAGACTTCAATGCCATGCCAAAGAGTAAAAGTTTTAATATTTTCCTGCCTTCTTGCATGAGATGCATCTAATTCTCCTTTAGGTTACCACGGTACCACCTCACAGGAAAAAGCTGAAGTCTCACAAGGATTTAAATACTTGTGACAACTTCTGTAATGAATGCATAGAATGTCACTTCAACTATATGACTATACATCCTAATTAAAAGTCAGGACCATAGTAGCATCAACATTAATCATGTACATATCAATCATTCATAACTCATAATAATAATCTCTACTTATTTTCGGGATATTGTAGCAAAACCAATCATGTCAATGTTAGAGAAAAGACAGATAACTAACCTCCCAAATACCAATTATAAATTACAAACAGAAAGGGGAGATAAATCAGACTAGCAATACAATGGAATTCTACATCAATTACTATAATGAACAATGCTAACAACACATTCTTTTAATGTATTAAAATTATGTATCTCATAAATAGGTCACTTTTTAAAGCAAGTGTTGGCATTTTAAATAATAGAGTAATATCCAATAATGAAGAATGCGTTGCTAGCATTTGTCATACCACAATATGCATATAAGGAACTAAATAAAAGATTTTAAACTATGATACATCCCAACCAAAAATGATTCTCTGGTCCCTCAAACTTGAAACAGATCTAATAAAAAAAGACATAGGTGCTCAAATTATTTAGAAACAATAACTCCTTATATCAATCACCAGTAGGCGACAAACCCTGTACATCTTGGTGGTTTTCTCTTCAAGCCTTTATTACATCCTTACCTGCTCAATTAACTAAGTTCACTTGATTGATCCACAGACATTGATTAAAGTCCTCCCTACACATGGGAATAATAAGTTATACAGCCTAATAATGTACCTAAGTTTCTTTTATTTTTAATCAAAATCTACAGGGGTACACTAGTGAAAATTCCACCTAAATATAACGATTATGCCCATTTTATAGCAATATATGTTCACGCCATACCTTATGTAAGTCTAAAAAACACAACAAAGACTAGAGCAAAATTCTGTAGAACTTGATGAAAAGGAAAAAAGAAGATTTGTCCTCAATTTCCCCCTCCATTCATCACCAACCTAATTTCACTGTAAGCAAACAAGGCAATACAGGTAAAAAGGAACTCAGAAAAAAAAAAGATTTGTCAGAACCAATCCTTGATCAAAGTAACCCAAGATAGCAACCAAATCCTCAACATTCATAAGTGGAACCATACAAACTGAAAATTTCTGCAAACATAAGATCTACACACTAAAAAAAGAAAAGAAAAAAGAATTAAGAAATCCTAACAATAATTGCACATCCCCATCCCCTTTTTATCCCTAAATCGAAGACTTCCAATGCTATCACCAAAAAAAAAATCCAAACCCTCCCTACCAGACACGCCCATTAAAAGAAGAAGAAAAACCCTATTTCTATAGGACCAAATAAAAAACGTAAAGTAAATAGAATGATGGGCACAAACAAATCGCAGGGACAGAACGTAAAAGGAAAGAAACAAAGTAGTCCCAAATCAAGTAATCTGAGGAAGCAAACCTAAAAGGCAAAAATGGAACAGATAATAGACCTGATGAATTGGAGGGTACATAGAGTTGGTGCAGACGGGGCATTCGAGAAGGTCGTGGACACTCGTAGTGGTGGGACCGTTGTTATGCAGCTTCGAGATTGAAGAAAACTGAAGGGGATGCTCATCCTCTTCCATCATAGTCATCGATGACACAGTGTTGCTCTCAATGCTACTCGATTCCATTCTCTCACTCATAACACCAATACCCTTAATTTTTCGCCACTTGAATCATACAAGTTATAATGCTTCAGCTTCAGCAGCTGGGTGGTTGTGTTGTGTTGTGCTGTGTGTATTTTTTAAGAAAAGAAGAGAAGGAAGGGAAAGAAGCAAGGATTTTTAAGCTGATTGCTCGCAAAAATTGATGCTTTTCTTCCTTTCCTTGGTCTTCTGAGACAACAGAGGAGTGATACGAGATATCTGTGTCCGAATCCTGACGACCCTTTGATCAAAATCAAACGGTTTTCAGGATTCTCCAACGAAAACCAGGAAGAGAGAAGGCGTTAAAGAGATCAAGATCGAGGAGAATAACGTAGAGATTGGAGAACCAAGAGAGAGAAGAAAATGTAGATCAAGTAGTCTGGTGATTTACTCATTTAATATTTAAGGGGCAGGTAAATGAGGCTTTTTTTTTTCCTTTTTTTTACCACAATGATTGGCTATGCCATACCATTGCCAAGGTAAATTAACTTAATAAGCAGACTCATTTATGAAAATATAAATTAATTTAATTTTTATAGAATATATACAACTTTCACCGAAAATAATCTTGTTTCTGTGAACATTATTATTATTATAAGAGATAAAATTCTTTAGCTAAGTATTTAATAATAATGTTATATATATTTAGGTTAAATTAGAACAACTCTTTACTAATTAATTCATGTCTGTAAATATAAAATTTAACAGATGATTTTTATACTGAGAATTTAAAAACTAAAATTTAACCGCATGTTAAGATTTGATTATTTATTAACTCTATTACACCATCATGATTCATAAGTATTAATTTAATGAGGGAATCAATTACTCGTTTTCCCAAACTAGATTAGGATGGCAATTAGAAATAGTAGCTGTCTTTTGGTTGAAGTCCTTTAGAATTGTGGCATGTGGAGGAAGAAATGGTGGTCTCACTCTCATGGTATGCGCCAGCACCATTCAAGGGAGCGCAACTTCATTTGAATGATTGCCGGGGTCTACACCTTTGTGTACAATGGATATACCATAGGTCCACTATGCCACTATCAATTATTTTCGCGTGGATGCCAGGCTTATCCGCAGTTTGAAAAATATTGTTTCTTAGTTGGGTGTTCAAAGTGTTGCTTCTCTTTTATATTATTCATTTGTGGACTTAATTATCTCTAGTCATACGATTGCGTAATTTGAGGACACTCTCAAAACACGTATACCTTAAGGATGTTCTACGAACTATTTTTCAAAAAAGTTTTGGGCCACTAGCTGGATTAATGTTTGCTTCTATAGTTCTATTTCGAGGCTTACACAGTTACACTTGTTGATAAGATGATAGTTTAATTATTGTTAGGTCCTTCTGATCATGACGTTTTTTTCCCTTTCAATTTTTGGTAACCGTCGTCATAATTACTTCATTTATACTTTTATCGTGCATATCTTGTCTTATATGTAAATATTTCCTTTTTCTATTTTTCCTTAACTTTTACTGCTAGTACATCATGGGACAAATGAAAACTAAAATAGAAGGAAAGAAATAACGTATTTAAAAATAATTTTAACATTTGCATACTTTAGTAAATTTAATAAAATAAAATATTTATAAAAAAAAACTTGCATGAAAGTTCTAAACTTATCATAATCTTTCCGATGTCCTTCTCATCGTAAAACGGATATAAATGAAATTAATGAGACGAGTAACATCGTGCTAGTTTTTTTCCATTAATTGTGGTTATCAAATCTTGATAATACTGGCATGAAGACAACAGAAGAAAGTCATTATAACAATTCGGCTTTAGGAAAGTCATGCATAATAATGAGGTTTGCTGGGTTACATATGATGGTAAGAAGAAAACGATTTCCCAGGAAAGATTAGCGCGAATAATGTCACTGATGTAGGAGCACTATTTTTGTTAACCCGTAAGCTCCGCAATGCAAAAGTTAAAACAGGAATCATGGTGTGTGAATCAGTGCATTATTATATTAAGATCGCATGAAGATACTTAGTTGCATAAATGTAAAATATATTGGTAGTAGTTCCCTAGATTTTATGAGCTGGTTCCCAAGTGTGCTCATCGTTCCAACCAAGGAAGGTTTGCCATAAAATATTGGCATCAGAAATGACTCCGCTTCGACGCTGCTTCAAGGCAAAATCCACCGTGCCTAAAGATATTTAAAAGGTACTACTATTAAAAAAATTGGTCGAATTTTAGCCCAAGTGGTAATGTTCTGACAAAAGTTTCACTCGCGAACCACAAGTGATAACCATACAAAAGAATTATTAGCAGCAAAAGTTCAGGTTTGGTGCCAAAAAAATGGGGCAAGAGGAATATTTCTTTTTCTAGTTCCAGGTGACTCTGCTCCACCTTCCTACTACCTTTATTTTGAAATCATTAAAAATAAATAAAATCCACTTACTTATGAAAGCAACATCTGAAGCAGTAAGCTCAAGCTTTTCTATTTTAAAGGGGATTGAGCTTTTCTTAGTAATATCATCTTGTTTGGGTAAGAAACACTTGGCTTATTAGTCTTGGAGATCCATCAGCAACAGCAACGACTTAGACCACTTGGCTGACAGTTGAACTGCCCTTCTTTAATGGCAATGGAAACCGTTTATGAAACTTTTCAGGCTGATAAAACACCACACAAGGCTTTCCAACTTAGATTACTTCCTGGGTTCCATATGGTGTGCATCACTACCACAACTTCAGTTACTCAGCCATAGAAATCCAATGTCAGTGTGCACTAATGTGATTTTGACATTTAATAACAATAGTTAATGAATTTAAGACTTGTTACAAAGCAGTTATGGTTAACTAAATACTAGTACGAGTGAATTTGTAACTTGGCATCTTTGGCAAACTTAAAATCCTCTGGCGCCAACAATATGCTAAATCATTTTACAGAAAATGTGGGGAATAAATTAAAAAATAAAAAACACATAAACTGGCCAACAAACAGCTTCCCTTCATCCTCTGCAGCCAAGCTGGTCCTTATGAGTCTGCCTTCAAAGAAATAACCATGCAGAAAAATAAATGAATAGATGAGTAGGTTTTTATTTTTTGAACTCAATTTAACTAATCAGCCTCACGACTCAAGGGCAAGGCTTTACCCAAATTACAGTTGATTCTGAAGTTTGGTTCAGGCTTCAGAGTAATCAGACAAGCTCAACAAAGATTATACCCAGTTTACCATTGACTTGGGAAGGCTTCTCTATAGTTGGCATCCTCACGTGAAACGTGCTGCCTATCTGCCGTAACCCTTGCCCGTGAACTTAAAAGTTTCTGAGCTATTCTATCTTTTGGTGTTACTTTCTTTCGCAGCATGGAAGCAAGACTTTGCTTCTTGTCTCTGGCAGACAGTTTATCTTCTACCTCCAAATCTTCTCCAAGCGTGGCTGATCTTGAAGTAGAAGCCAAAGCAGCATCCCGTAAAACAGCTTCATTGTGTTCCCGAATTTTAGCTAGTTTTGCACGTTTAAGTGTCTGTTTATCAATTTCTCTCTTCTTTGCCACCTCTTGGTCTCTTTCACGAACATTTTTCACTGCTTGTTTTGCTAACTGCTCAACTAAATCAGTCCCTAAATCCATATTCATGTCTTCTGAAGAGCTCTGATTGAGTGGCCTCCCTTCATCATCTCGAGGAATGATTGGTCCATGAAATGGACAAACTTTTAGATCTCTTCTCTGACATAATCCTCCTTTCCTCAAAGGAGCCAGGCATGGTTGGATCTCAATTTCCTTTTCTTCATAAGGCATTGCATGAACATTCAATTCAGCGATTTTTTCTGCTGGAATAACTGCATCATCGTCCACCCTACCCCAGTGACTATCAAGCTCCAAACCCCGCTGGTTAGCCATAAAAACCCTGTTCGAACCCCAATTATCCAAGTAAGAACTCCATCGTACCACGGGAGCTTCGGCTATAAGTTTACTTCTCTGAGGGTTTGACTCAACTTGGTGTCCTCGATGAAGCAGTCTGTCCGTATCAGATCCATTAGACTCTTTATTGTGCAAACCAAGATTATCATTATTCATTTTATGAGAAGTTGACGCCACATCAAGATGTTCATTTTTATTGTCAGGTGCACTACATGAGATTTCCATAGATACAACATTACCCTCCTCCCAAAAATCTTCCTCTTCATGTTTTGATGAGTTTAGAAGAGAACAACCGGCCTCTTCACATTTATTTTTAACTGATTTCAGTCTATTGCGGATATCGATGAACTCTTTCAAAATGGAATCTCTGAATCTATTGTCCACTAACTCAACTCTTACTAGAACAGAAATCCACTCTTGGATGGAAACCAAATGCTTTGTGATCAGAAGTTTGTACAGCTCTCTCAATGTATCAAAAACTACCGTGTTTTCACTGTTCTCGTAAACTTTCTCCCCTTCTTTCAATGCTTCAAAACGAAGCTGTTGCAGCTCCAAAGAACGGAAATCACCGAGTTCTTCATTATCTAATATATCATCCGACATAGACTCCTGTTTTGCATGCAAAATCTCCAAACACTCATCAATCTCATCCATTGTAGACAGAATCCCTCCCTTTATTGAAGATGAATTCTCTTGCAAAGATTCATACTTGCTCAACAAAATCGCTCTTGACCTCCTCTCCCTTTCCCTTCTCTCCTGCTGAATCGG